TAAACCCGATCGTATGATAATTTCGAATCTGCATCAATTTTAGATAAAACAAGAGGAAACCCAATAGTCGAGTGCCGCGACTATAAGATACCCTTTTCTGTTTTACACAATTTTAAAATTGTATTTTTGAGTAATCATGTTGAGTAACTGATAGTGACGTCACTGCCCATGTCAGGCTTTATAACCTTAATTTCTTCATAGGTAGCGAAATAATGTTCCGTTTTGAAAAATCGTTGGTAAATCGATAGATACTAACAGAAATAAGCTATACAAGGTCAAACGAAGGCATTCATAATATTATGATAGACGTCACACATTTCCCCGGTTTGTGGGTATGTGGTATCTCTAAAATACATATTTGGTTTTTCGGGTTTTGTGGGCGTTAGGGTGGGCGTGGCTAGATGGGAAAAAACAATTCGCATTTGGGGCATCATAAAAACCTACATGCTTAGTTCGAACGATCTATCACTTATATTTACCGAGGTATCAGGTTTTCTTTAAAATGCGAAATCCGTCATTTGAGCTTGGTGCGCTTATGGGTGGGTATGGCCGGATAATGGTACCACAAAGTTTATACATACTGAAATTCGACTTTCTAGCTCTAATAGTTCGCAAGATTTCAGCGATTTTAGTTTTCCGTGATTTGTGGGCGTTAGAGTGGGCGTGGCAGGATGCTGAAATAAACTTGCGCTGTCCTGGGACCTCAAGAATCTTCGTGCTTAATCTGTATCCAAGATACAACGAAGAGCTGCGGGAACAGATCTTTTCATAATTTGAATATCGAATAAGCTAGAAATGTGCTCTATGAAAATCAAAACCTTTTTATCGTAGCGCTCTTTTAACTGCCTTAAGGCCTTTGGATTTGGCCACGACACTTAGCGCGGGACTAGATAAACAGCTAAGCAAGTAGTTAAACTTGTCAACAGCTGATATTGAAGCGTCATCATGTACCATGCTAGTAAAGGCACTGATAAACTTCATGTAGTCACCATACTTCCCGTCGAACTTAGGCAGCTTTAACGAAGGCAAACGATTATGGTGCGCAGTTGAGCAATTTGCCGATGAATTGAAGAAACTTGCATCTTCTGACCGGTCCTTCTTTGACGCCCCAATACGAGTGATGATAATTGCCTTGGTTTCTATGAATACGTCCTCTTATTCTTGCCGGCCGTCGTCAGCCGCATCCAGCCGTTTCATCAGTGATTGAATTTGAAGATCTGTGATTGAACTTGTTTAAAATACGATTCCAAAATTTGTGACTGGCATTCAAGGGCAGCAAGGTCGTTCTGCGGTTCGATACGAGCTTTTAGATTACTATATTTCGCTGAATTGTATTCCTTTGTTGTCTTAAAGACACTAGTTGAGTATCAGTCATTTTGCGAATACTTATTTAACGAAAACTTAGTGTGGAGCAATTATTGAGTGAAGCAATACCTTATCCAAATATGTTGGCAATGCCCTTTGGATCAGAGGGAAAAAACAAAACACTCCGATGCCTGGGAGAGTAACTTAATTTTTGTCTTATCTATTTGCAAACCAGCTGCACAAGTATGTGTATATATGGCCAATGCTCTTTGGTTGAGAGTGGAATGACAAAACCGCGATTGCATTTGCGAGTCTAGCTTACAGTTTTTCGTCTTCTTTGTGCCGCTGTTCCTTCGCTTGCGAAGCTGTACTTGCGACAGTTATGATGCGCATACCCTGTATGCAAGTGTCCACGACGACCCAGTGGCGATGAGTCCGGTGATCCAACGATGCTTCCGGAGAGCCTACGATGATACGATGAGGGAATGATCCCAAGTGTGAATCGAATTTATGGTGGGACTTGCCGAATGCAGAGTCCTGTCACGGTCGCCAAAATGTGCGGACTCTGCCCAAATGCAGAGTAATTAGAAGAAACATCCGAGTTGTTTCGATTTCTAATATGCATTGATTTTTAATGTTTGACTTCGAGATTACAAAAGAGAGATATGTACATGTGTGAGCTGCATGTATAAGAGTGCGTAAGGCGAATTCAAAATATAAACATATGATTACAGTGTGGGGTGGTTAAGTAGAACAAGTTGGCAAGAATTCAAATTATTAGGCAAATTAAACAAAGTTATTTATAAAACAATAATAATTAATTAAAATTAGCATTAACTTGAGATGTCATCGAACAATATCAATAAATACTAACACTAATACTAATCTCACCGTGCAGGCTTTAATTTATGGCTCGCGTATTTTGTATGCTAAACCTCAGGCATTTCTAGGATCAATGAGACAAATTTTCTGGCCAGTTGACTTCTGCGGACCATTTTATTACAAAGCGGAGGCTAGGACCAAGCAAGATCATAAATGCTTCGTATCGATATTTGTCTCGACCAAGGCCACTCATCAGGAAATCGTTCAAGACTATCGCTAAGGAGTCAGCCCAATTGTCCGAAAATTTTGAAATTTGATTCACTCCGACATCTCCTTAAGGAAATATTCCTAATTCTCGTCCACTATGTACAATTTCAGAAGACTGGAGCTTTACAAACCAATATACCGGTCGATGCCGTAGTGTTGTTGAAGGATGCTGCCCTTAAATGGAATATGAGAATAGCTATGGTTCGTAAAGGATGTTCGGAGCAGCAGTAACACAATTGTTAAATTTTAATTGCCATTGGCTATTGTACGTTTGAAGAATATTTGTAAACAAAATATAGCCAAAAACTTGACCACGGAGACTTAAAGCTTTGCTTGCCCGATCTTTCTATTTGCTCTTGCTTACTTATCTCTTATGTCCATCTAGGTTTGTAAGCGAGCGATTGAAATGCCGTCGGCTTTTGCGTGCCCTTTTTTTTGTAATAAAAACTTATTCTTTTGAAAATTAAACCTTTCGTGTGTTTAATTTAATTTGTTATCGAAAAATATTTGTAAAATTTAAAATATAGAGCATATTTAATATACGTATGTACAGGGTGACAATAAATAACCCGGACAAACATTTTTGATCATAACTTTTTAAGGAACTGTATTTGAGAAAAATGCAGATACACAACTATTAAATAGGTATTGTGTTAACATATATTCAGCCGGTTTCGTAGTGGCTTCCTTGGGCTGCGATGCAGAGCCCTAAACATTTCTGGAAATTTAGCGCAATGGGCCGCAGGTCTTCTTCCGATAATGGATCCCATTCTCGGAGCAATGATTGCTTCAGCGCCTCCAAACTTATGTATCGTTTAGCACATGCCCTGGACTCCAAAATAGACCACACACTGTAGTCCATCGGATTAAGATCTGGCGAGTAAGGTGGCCATTCACTGGATGTGATAAAGTCCGGAAAATTGGCTTTGCACCAGTCCTGAGTCGATTTGGCTCTATGGGCTGGCGCTGAATCCTGTTGAAACGTCCACTCCGTATCACCGAAGTGCTGCTGGGCCCAAGGAAGCACAACAGTTTCCAAAATGTCCCGGCGGTTCACTTCCTGATTGATTTTGACCCCTTGATCGATGAAAACAAGGGGTGTTTTGCCGGTGTCGCATATTTCTCCCCAAACCATTAAAGACTGCCCACATTTACGACGCTCGATTATTGCAGATGTACCTTGAGCTTCAGCCGAACAGCTTCTGTCATTTTGGTAATTGTGCGCCTGTTGGATGGTGAATATCTTCTCGTCCGTGAAGAGAATACGCTCCCATTTTCTCGATTCACTCCGATTTCGCGGGCGATCCAAATGATCCGCTTTTTCACGATCTGGCAAATTCTGGAAGTGTTAGCGGTGCATGACCTGCCTCGTCCGGAACGGTCACCTTCATGGCTAAGCTCATTAAGTCGCCGGATAGCGTCAGAGACCGTTTGTTTTGGTATGCCAAGCAAACGAACAATATCGCATTGGCGATTTCCTTGTTGAAACAGTTTTAAAATTGCACAACGATTGTTAGACATCCCGAAACAAATATATAATTGATGGGAATCACAAAAATGTATATAAATTGGTTTCAGAAAAGTACAAGCTATCAATAAATGCATTTATTTAAGGGCTGCATCATATCACATTTTTAATAGATTGCTTCAAAGTTCGTCCGTGTTATTTATTGTCACCCTGTATATGAAATATTCATAAATTTTTAATATAATTATAATTTTTTTTTACAATTAAAATTACATATAAGTATTTATATAACGGGATTAATGCGGGGCGAAGATGAAGTTATTCCAGGGATCCGTTGGGATCAGGTGGTGTGGCGAGCTGCCGTCGACTCCGACTCCCAATCCGCTGGTATAAAAACTCAAGGGGTGCTGCTCGTCGGAAAACTGGGATTCGGTATGCACGGCAGTGCATCCGCGATCCGCACCATTCAGCAGGAAAAGTGAAGTCCTGGCCTATAATGAGCTGCCCTCATGTCGATATAACGCCAGTAGAGTATGTAGGTTTAATAGTGATCGAAAATTTTTGGGAAATATTGGACATCTCTGTAAGGAAGAGGAAGATTTCGACCAAAAACAATCGGAATACTGTTCCTATGGAAGAATGGTTAAATATCCTAGGTGAATCTGCACGAAACAAGCTGCGATCCACTGTACAATATACGATGTACATACATAGACAAATTTTAAGAGCAATGAAATTTTGACAGAAAGCGTTACAAATCAACTTGTCTTAAAGTGATCGTTAAAAGAAGCTTATGTGCAATTCGCATACTACTTTACCCTATATATAATAATATTAGTGTTTGTTTATAGTTTTTATATTAGTGTTTATTAGTGTTTATATATTTAAATATTTGTATTCATGTCTTTTAATTAAATATAAAATATTTGTTATTAAATTAAGTTTTTTCTTTAAGAACTAATTTATATATAAACATTAAATGTAATGTTTTAATGTCCGAAACGAGTAGTTCTGAAAGTAAATCTTTTAGCACGTTTTACCAAAGTTCAATTCCACTGTTCCAGTTCTAAAGTTAACGTTTCTAGAAACAATCGAAGTCGGCTTATATGCAACCCTGTGCAATTTTCTGCTGTCTGATGAAGAAGACTACTTCCTTCCTTCCTTTTTGATTTTACCTTTCAAGTAAGTTTGTCGTGGCTTTGATCAACTGGTGTGAGTGATTTTTAATTAATTTATAATTACTCTTGATAATATGTTCCGTGCACTTCATTCACTTAAGCGCTAACTATTGTTTTTTTTATTTTTAATTATTTGCTTGTTACTGAGCTGGCTGCCCATTTTCTGCAATCGAAAAGTAAAAAATTTAATTTATTATTATTATTATTAATTTATTATTATTTATTATAAACGGTAACTCCAAGAAGAAACCGCAAGTTCATTTTAGAATAAATTTGTATAAGATAAATGAGGCATGGCGAGTATTCAAATAATACTGAAAACGTGTGCGTCCAAACAGATGCGAGATTAAATTTTATTTTATTGCACTAATTAAACTGTGAGCCACTGTACAAGTAAGCAGTGCAGTGCACCTTACCAATCCCTTTTTAAAACTTTCATCGAAAAACTGACATGAATTAAGATACAATTTTATGTTATATTTCTTAAATATACCTTAATTTCAATGTGTAGAATTTCTCGATATACTGTAGATATTATAATGCGCTTGACTAGTGCTGTTGGGTGAAAAGTTGATGGACCGATGATGTGACAGTTATTAAATAACTAATGAATTTGTTACTAGGTCTATTAATTTGCTGAGATGGGGGCCTATCGGTACATGCAGGAACTCTATAGGAAGAAACAGAGTGATGTGATGCGATACTTACTTCGTATCCGCGTGTGGCAATATCGTCAATTAACAAAATTGCATCGTTCACCCAGACCTACACGTCCGGATAAGGCAAGGCGTTTGGGGTACCGCGCAAAGCAAGGGTTCGTGATTTACAGAATTCGTGTCCGCCGCGGTGGTCGCAAGCGTCCCGTTCCAAAGGGTTGCACATACGGCAAACCAAAGAGCCATGGTGTCAACCAGTTGAAGCCCTATCGTTGCTTACAATCAATTGCTGAGGTAAGAAAAACACTAATGTAACATATTGTGAACTTAATTTGATGAAAATATTTAAACACGAAAATTCTGTTGACTATTAAACTTCCTTAGATGTCTGACTCCTGCTAATTAGATTTATTAATGTCCATTTAGATTATTGTAATAATCGAGGTACTGTGTTTTTTTTTCAGGAACGTGTCGGCCGTCGACTAGGTGGCTTGCGAGTTTTAAATTCATATTGGATTGCTCAAGATGCTTCTTATAAGTATTTTGAGGTAATATTGATTGACACCCATCACAGTGCTATTCGACGTGACCCCAAAATCAACTGGATCTGCAAACATGTCCATAAACATCGTGAATTGCGTGGACTTACCTCCGCCGGTAAAAGTTCTCGAGGTATTGGCAAAGGGTATAGATATTCGCAGACCATTGGTGGATCAAGGCGTGCTGCCTGGAAACGCAAGAACCGTGAACACATGCACAGAAAACGATAATTTGTAAACCTTAATTATTACAGGTTTAATAAAATCGTTCGAGCATTTTTTAACGATGTGCACCTTAATAGTATATTTGCTCTATTTATTAAGATGAAAAACAGATCTGGTATTGATACAAAACTTTCCTTGAAAAAGGGTTTAAACATAGTATTGGGAAGTCTATTGCAAAGTACACTAGCATATTATTATTGACCCTTTGGGGGGTGGGGTGTTATTTGGATTCTTTGAGCCCCTAATCACTACTAACTGATTGAGGTAGCCCTAAAAGTTTTCCCCTATCTGGTCACAATATATTATATCTAACAGTTTTAAAATCCAACCTGATAGCTATAAGCCCAGCTCCAGACAACTTGGCTAGTCATAAATTAAAACAAGAAGAAACGCTATAGTCGAGTGCCGCGACTACAAGATACCCGTTACTGTTTTACACAATTATAAAATATTAATTTTGCTGGTGGAAATTCACAAGGCGCCACCTATTGTCAGTGGAAGTACGTTGAGTATGCTTATAGTGTCGTCACTGCCCATGTGAAGCCTTATAACCTAAATTTCTTTATAAATAGCGAAATATTGTTCCGATTTGGAAAATCTTTCGTAAATCGATAGATATTAACAGAAATAAGTTACACAAGGTCGAACGAAGGCAGATATCAGCTTTTCTAGAAAATCCGAAAACCATCTTTTGACCCTTGTCAATAGTATAGTACCACTGAATTCTGAATTTCAACTTTCTAGCTCCAATAGTTCCTGAGATTTAGCAATTTTAGTTTTTTGCGTTTAGTGGGCGTGGCAGGATGCTGTAATAGACTTTCGCTGCGTAAGGACCTCAAGATCTTCATGGTTAATCTCAATTTTGTATCTCTTATAGTTCCTTTATAGGATCGGAAACGCTTTCTTCTGCCTGTTAAATACTTTTCAACGACTCTAGTATACCCTTTTACTCAACGAGTAACGGGTATAAAAAACAATTACATTTTTAAAGAGTTCTGGAACAGCTAAACAAGGAGATACCGTTAATTTGTTGACGTTTGGCCGCGGCTTGTATTATCGCTGAGGCCTCGGATGTTATAACGCGGGGTGCTCAGAGCTTAGGGACTTGCTCTCCGATAAGCTTTGAGCGTTTGAGGCTATATTACACTAACGATTTTTCGTTTTCATCTTTCCGACTCATTCCGTCGCCAAGCGCAATATTCCGGATTATGTTGGACAATAAAGGTGTAAGGTAACTAATATAAGCTGTATATGGATCGTCAATTTTTTTTCGACCAAAGTTCGATGAAGTCAAGAATACTCTTAGACTTATTAACTTTGGAGATTTTGTGGTTATAAAACGAAATTTTTGCATTTAAGAAGAAGAAACGCTATAGTCGAGTCCCGCAACTTAACTCATTTTAAAATAATCATTTCAATTACAGAATTTGTCAGAAAAAACATGTTTAATAACTGATGGGACGTCACTGAAAGTCCTTATAACCACAATGAATAAATGTTATAAAAGATTAAGCAAAGACATAAGTATTAATATTATGAACACTGCAGCTTTCCGCGGCATGTGCTCGTTGGAGTAAGAAATCACTTCGAGCTGCGGTCTAGAACCATTGTATGCCTTATCCTAACCTAGCTCTAATAGTTACTGATATCTTGGCGTCCTCAGAGAATGCGTATGTTGTTTTAACGGCTAGTGGGCGTGGCGAGAGAATGGTATATGCCAGATACATCCTTATTCCCACCATTCTAGCCCGTATAAATATTTCCTGAGTTCTCAGAGATCTCCTTAAATAGACGTTGAAATACAAATACATTATACAGAATGTTAAATAGAATAGTTAACTTAAGCAGATATGCCTAAAATTTTAGATTTCAAAGCAGAGTAGACGTTGAAATACAAACTATATTTTTAGAATGTTATAAATAACACGAACACACACACGCCCACAGCTATGAAAGCTTTGACTTGCAAAAACACAAACCACGAAAGATGAAGACAAAGCAAAAACGCAATAGAAAAGAGTCACCTTTAACTGCTTTAATATTTTTACTAGTAAACACACATCTGCAAGTTTCTACAGCTAATTTTAAAACTTCTTATAACATACCAAATTCTGGATTTTCTTGGAACATTACTAAAAGTTTAACTAAATAAAAATAGAATTAAATCAATTTTACGAAAACACTTTGACAGGAAAGTTAACTATTAATATCTCGATTTAAAGAAAATACCATTAACTCCTGCTAACTTGTCCACAGTGCAAAGGTTTGATATATAACGTTTGAGACTAAAAGGCGCATTACATATTTATTTGTTCTGACCTGATAGCAACCTGCAAATATTCCTAGGCAATATGCCTGTATATACATGTACTATACACATATCCATATATAAAATTATTAAATTTACCAAGGAAGGTAAGTTAAGCAAAAGTAGTCTACTGAGATAAGGAAATCCTAAGTTTTGTTCCCAGTTCAAACTTCGTAAAGAAACAAAAAAAAAAATGGATTTTGCACTTACTTAATGCTCCAAGCAGAAGAGGATTATTCTAAATTGTGTCGGGTCAGGAAAGTGTTTAGTCCAACTTTTCCAACTAACGTTTATTGAAACCAAAAACTCTTAACCTTATTAACTGTTAACTATGGTCCACGAAAACTTCTAAACCGTTAACTAACAAAAATAATCGCAATAAACGAGTGCCGCACATATAAGATACCTGTTACTGTTTTATCCAATATAAGAATATTCATTTTGCTAGCGGAATTTGACGAAGCGCCATTTTTTATCACGTCACTGCCCGTGTGAGGTCTTATAACCTACAGTCGGCACATAATTTTTTCGTACACTCATGAGTTTCAAGTTTATTCCTTAATATTTAATATTAAAATGTAATATCTCAAATGAAATATATTCATTTCGAGCATACGAGGTGTGTTCAAAAAGTAAGGTGACTCTTCAAATTTCGCGAATTTCAAATTTTTCGATTATCGATTTTTTTGTTTTGTTATATTGGTACACTCTTCCCTAACATCTGTACCAAGTTTCAATGGAACATCCTCTTTTGTTTGGTTGTGAGAGGCGTAAAGTTACAAGTTGTTTTGCGAGCTCGGCGATTTTTTGCTATCGAAAAATATGGATCAAAGGATTTGGATTTTTTGGCCAAAAACAACACCACAATAATGCCTCAGCCACCATATTCACCGGATTTGGCCCCATGTGACTTTTTCTTGTTCCCAAAACTGAAGATAATCGAAAAATTTGAAAAATTTGAAATTTGAAAAGTCACCTTACTTTTTGAACACACCTCGTATAACTTCTAAAAGGTTTCGATAATCGAAAAATTTGAAATTCGCGAAATTTGAAGAGTCACCTTACTTTTTGAACACACCTCGTATATTTTAAACATAAAATTAACAAGTTTTAACTTAAACACTGGATAATTTTCTTAATAACGCAAAATAGTCATTTTTTACGCACAAAAATTATTCGTACACTTCTCATTTTTGACTTATATTTCTGTATCCAGCGGTAATCCGCGATTCTTTTTTGAATTGTACTTCGGAGCAAGCTACAGTGTACTATTCTCAAAGTTGTTTGGTTAGTTACGCGGCTTTTTTTTGCTGTAATTGAGACCAAATTGGTCGGGGTCAAGATTTATCCCTAAATTTTCGAAAAACTATAATAAAATTATATTTAGCGAACCGTAATTAACCCGAAATTGGTAGAAATATTGTCAAGTCACCTTTCACAATGCAAAGTTTGATAAAAAAAAACAAGAGAAAACGCTATAGTCGAGTGCCGCGACTATAAGATACCCGTTACTGTTTTACACAATTATAAAATTGTAATTTTGCTAGTGGAAATTCACAAGGCGCCACCTATTGTCAGTGGAAGTACGTTGAGTATGCTTATAGTGTCGTCACTGCCCATGTGAAGCCTTATAACCTAAATTTTTTTATAAATAGCGAAATATTGTTCCGATTTGGAAAATCTTTCGTAAATCGATAGATATTAACAGAAATAAGTTACACAAGGTCGAACGAAGGCAGATATCAGCTTTTCTAGAAAATCCGAAAACCATCTTTTGACCCTTGTCAATAGTATAGTACCACTGAATTCTGAATTTCAACTTTCTAGCTCCAATAGTTCCTGAGATTTAGCAATTTTAGTTTTTTGCGTTTAGTGGGCGTGGCAGGATGCTGTAATAGACTTTCGCTGCGTAAGGACCTCAAGATCTTCATGGTTAATGTCAATTTTGTATCTCTTATAGTTCCTTTATAGGATCGGAAACGCTTTCTTCTTCTGTTAAATACTTTTCAACGAATCTAGTATACCCTTTTACTCAACGAGTAACGGGTATAAAAAACAATTACATTTTTAAAGAGTTCTGGAACAGCTAAACAAGGAGATACCGTTAATTTGTTGACGTTTGGCCGCGGCTTGTATTATCGCTGAGGCCTCGGATATTATAACGCAGGGGTGCTCAGAGCTTAGGGACTTGCTCTCCGATAAGCTTTGAGCGTTCGAGGCTATATTACACTAACGATTTTTCGTTTTCATCTTTCCGACTCATTCCGTCGCCAAGCGCAATATTCCGGATTATGTTGGACAATAAAGGTGTAAGGTAACTAACATAAGCTGTATATGGATTGCAAATTTTTTTCGACCAAAGTTCGATGAAGTCAAGAATACTCTTAGACTTATTAACTTTGGAGATTTTTTGGTTATAAAACGAAATTTTTGCATTTAAGAAGAAGAAACGTCGAGTCCCGCAACTTAACTCATTTTAAAATAATCATTTCAATTACAGAATTTGTCAGAAAAAACATGTTTAATAACTGATGGGACGTCATTGAAAGGCCTTATAACCACAATGAATAAATGTTATAAAAGATCAAGCAAAGACATAAGTATTAATATTATGAACACTGCAGCTTTCCGCGGCATGTGCGCGTTGGAGTAAGAAATCACTTCGAGCTGCGGTCTAGAACCATTGTATGCCTTATCCTAACCTAGCTCTAATAGTTACTGATATCTTGGCGTCCTCAGAGAATGCGTATGCCGTTTTAACGGCTA